ATGTTAACTAGTTATACAACCAGATTATTTTCATCAAGTCATCAGGTGGTTTATGAACAATTTCACGCACGCTCAGGCAGAAATATTACCACTTAAAAGATCACCACCGAAAGATCAAAACAGATGAAAAGTTTCTTCTTCATATTTTTGTCCAATTCTGAAATTTCCATAGAAAAATATAAGAATAAAATTATTAATAAGATCCTAATCATGTTGAATTGGTGCAATTTCCTCATTTGTGTCCTGGAAACACAACCCCTCCACATAAACATCGCTTGGTAGTGGGCAGCTCAGGGTCTCGGGTTCCCTCAGTCCAAACAGTCTGCTTTCAGTCTCAGCCTCACTCATTCATCTGCTCCTGCTTCACTTAAAACATAAAATGTGAAAATAAAAGTGCTGCCCGCAGCAGTTTGGCTCTGCTTTGGATCAGCGAGAGGAAAATGAACAAACTCTTCAGGCAGAAACCAACTTCTGGGTTTTACTGTGAAAACTGGAATCCAGATTTAATCTCATGGTGAAAAACAAACAATCAGTGCAGAAGAAGTCCTGAATCAGAGAATCATTCCTGCGTCTGCATATCAGGAGTGAGACAGTTTCCTCTGATAAAGAACAGGAAGAGCCGCTTTAACACATGTGCTCTAAGAAAAAAGAATTTAAAAGTAATCCAAAACATTTCACATTTAGAAAAGAGTGAATGTGTCACTCCTGGTGCCTGAAAGCTGCTCACACATCAGCGGGGCAAACCCAAAGTGGAAACACATGTTGTGGAAAAGCAGAAGCCATTTCTCTGATATGTGAAACCAAACCCGCTCAGATCCTTTCAATGCAGAGCGAGAGACTACACAGCATGGATTAAAGATGGGGATCATGTCATCATCGTGTAAAGGATGAAAACAAAGATATCAAAGCGTCTAAATCCTCGTGCGACCATTAAACGTGGAGATGAGGATGAATAAAGGCAGATCTGAAGAGGCTGGTCAGTAAAAATAAAAATCTGAAACAAAGCAGACACACCTTCTGACATTTAACATTCTCCTTCACCTCCAACATCTTGAACGCATCCACCTACATTCTCCTGTAAACCCCCCCCCCCCCCACCCCCCACCCCCCCACACACACACGACTGTAAGAAGACATGTGCATGAAAAGCAGCAGAACCTGCTGTTCTCAACTGGTGCAGCAGCCAGAAAACCAGTCTGGGGTAAAGACGAGAGGTGACTCACGTCCTGCAGCCTGTGAGCAAATCCTTCCTACCTTCTTCGCTGCCTTGGACGGCGACCTCCTGGTGGGCTTCTGCACCTGGCCGCCCTGCGCTGAGGGCTGCTTGGACACTGAGCCATTCTGGCGCTTCTTCACCGGGGACGACGGGGTCGAGGATGGCGACGCTGGGGAGGGGGGAGTCGGAGGTGAGGAGGGGGGGGCAGGAGCCTCGGTCCCAAGAATGGCCATCTCATCGGTGGCTGTGAGGTGAAGGCTGCGCAGACTCTCATAGGTCTCCTGGTCGACCACCAGCAGCCTGGTCTCGTTGTCCACCGCCTTGATCCGCTGCACCACCTGATGGATGGACATCAGGAGAATTATACACCATAAACAAAAACACGTTTCCCCACCGCTTGACTCCGCTGGATCACATCCAACGGCATGAAAAACATTATTGTTATTACATACAAATTAAACAAGTTATACAAGTTTAAAAATAAACATCTGTCACATGAGTTGCTGCTTGTTCGACTAAAAGGGACTAAATATAAAATCTGACTAATATCATAATATTTACCCTCAGCACATTTGTCCTGCTCTCCCAAAATTAGTTTCTTTCCTTTGTAAAACTTCCCAGGCTTTTAAACAAATGTTTTGTTGTTTAGATTCAGAGATTATTTTCAATACTTCTGATGTGTTTCTGTGTAGAAAACTCTATTTTACCCATATTAGACAGCTTCCCGAATGGCTTCAGTTTGCAGAACGGAGTTGTTGTCCTACAGGATTGATTAGCTAAAGGCTAGGCTAAAGCCTAGTTTATGCTTCTGCGTCGGAGACATGCAACACCATTATCCGTTCTCACAAGCCTGCCGGAGAGCCCTCACAAGGACAGACAGCGTCGAGCCCACTTTTCTAAACATCCGTCGAACGAGACGGAGAACACAAGCTTCTGATTGGTCAGGACTCAGCTTTCGTCAACATCACCACCAAAAAATAGAGTTGGAGATATCTAGTGGCAGACACAGATAGAGATGGGTACCGAATTCGGTACTTTTTAAGGTACCGACCGAATTCCACAGTACCGACCGAGCACCGGTTCACTTCATTTGAAACGGTGCCTCGTTCCGGCACCCGTCCTTCACAACGAGAACTTGCCTAGACAGCTGCGCATGCGCAAGAGCGTTATGTCATCGGTCGCTGCGAGCGAGTTGTAAACAGACCAGCATGGTAGAAAGAACGAACGCTAAAGCTTGGGTCCACTTCACTAAATGTGATGGGTAACTGGGTGATGATGAAACCAGCGACAACGATCTAAGTGAGACATCCTCATCTTAATCTGCTCTGGTAGGTAAATAAAATGTTTAAGATAACGTTAGCTTGATTTGTTAGCTTCCGTTTCACTAATGGTGCATTCGCTTTCTCCTCGGAACTCCGAAATTCCGACTAGAACATGAACGCTCTCTAAAGTTTGGCTTCACTTTACTAAATGCGACAGGTGACTGGGTGAAGATAAAACCAGTGACAACGATCTAAGTGTGAGGCATCATCGTTTTAATCTGCTCCAGCAGTTAAATAAACTGTTTAAGATAACGTTAGCTTGATATGTTAGCTTCCATTGCACCATTGTTATCAGCTAATGGTGCGTTCGCTTTCTCCTCGGAAATTCTAACTTCCCAGTAGGAAAAATCTATTGAAAAAGGACGGTAAAAGGAATGAAGATACACAGTAAATTTAAAGATGTTTGCTTCAGATTAACTATCAGCTTATAAAACTACAAGGACGAAGTTAAAATACAAACAGTTGTATGTTATTTATCGTGATATTTATCAAATATGGTTATATATTGAGAAAAATATATATTTAATTATAAAAGAGAATTAAAAATATTAAACACTCATAAGTATCAAAAATTGGTACCGTTAAGTACCGGTATCGATTCCTAGGTACCGGGAATTAGTACCGGATCGATTCAAATGTCAAAGGTACCCATCCCTAGACACCGAGCAGGTTGAAGAATACCTCGCGGAAAAAAAGAATGTTTTATTCACCCGCGACTGGAGGAATAAAAGATGCGCATCAAGTGTTTTATTCGTGGACGGAAACGACAGGAAATGTGGGTTTAAAGGTGGAGGAGAATGAGGGACAAATGTGTCCGTGTTAAAAAGTCTCTGAAATACAAAATACAATATAAACACAATAGGGAGCCTAAGCCCCATCTACTTCCGGACCACGGGTCCCAGGAAGAAACGAAAAAATGAATGCAAGTTAATGGGGCTAAAAACGCTATTTTCTAATCCATTTGTTTTGTGCCATGGATTTCACATATGATGTCCATGAATTTTAAAGACGCATTTTGATACAAAGAACGCGCTTATTTTCAAACGACGGGAAACGCTTTTTAGGTTTTGTGTAAAAATAAAACCAGGACTGCAAATGCGCTTCATGAAAGTGACGTCATCGAACCAGACACGGAGAAAACAGAGGGAAAATAGCTGTAAGTTTAGCAAACTTAAAATCCTTCCTTCAGGAGGGAAAAACCACCATAATTCTGGCCATTTGGTAAGTAGCAGCTACGCTAGAGGACAGGAGATTATGTGCCGACGTCTGGTTTGTAGTCGTGCTAATTAGAAAGTTTTACAAGCTGATGAATCTCAAAGTACGTGACAGGCGTGGTCTTTTAGCCCCATTGACTTGCATTCATCTTTTCGCTTATCCGGGGACCCATGAGTCGACCGGAAAGGGAGGAGACTTGCCATGGAACCTTGCCCTAATGTCTTGTCCCGCCCTGGTTGCCTAGGAGATACTTCATCAGGAACTGCCAAAACGTGTTCCAATGTTCATGGCGTGTGTTATCCGTTTGTTAGCCGTTTAGCTAGCTGAGCAAGGATACACGGGAGGTGTCTTGTAGCCTTGCCTCGGTCAAAAATTTCCCAGAACACACCTCTGTATTTTGAAAAGGATGGCAGATCAGAAGCAGGCAGCTACTTCGGGGGCAAGTTTCATGTTTAAATGTAAGTCAACTAATTTAAAATGTTTTTTTTTTTAGATCCAAAGAAGCCGCGGTCACGTGATGCAAGTCTGTTCAATTTAACCGTTTTCTTTTGACCAATGAAGGACAGTGTCCTCGTAAGCAAGGCGCCTGGCCTCGCAAGACATCGCCACGCAAGGCCAGGCGCCTTGACATTGAGAAACACGCTTAGACTTCCTATAGAAAGTGCACTATCTTGGACCGGATACATAGCAGGAAATTCCAGAACAGCGCTACGCCCTCTGCTGTCCTGGTGGGGAATCACTTTGCAACACTCCCCAGGCAGCGGAGAAGTCTGAGAGCAAAACGTCTCTGTTAGTGCGTGCGTGTCTCTCCCCTGTGGAGCTGACGGAGAAGCATAAACTAGGCTTAAGTGAAGATCATAGAGTATCCCTCAATGGTTCACGTGACAGTATTTGTTAAGCTCTCATTCACTTGTTAATTCAACACATTACCAGCTAAGTGGCCTAATGGTATGAGTGTCCACCCTCGGACTGGGAGATCGGGGTTCAAATCCCAGTCAGGTCATACCAAAGACTTTGAAAAAATGGGACCCAATGCTTGACACTCAGCATTAAGGTGTTGGATTGGGGGATTAAACCACCAAATAGTTCCCGAATATGGCTGTGTCTGCAGCTCACCACTCCCCCTGTGTGACAACTATTGGGACCTTGACTTTGACATCTGCAGTGGTCTTTACTATTTCTGTGAGAGAAAAGCTCTGGCGCTCCTGTTTCAGGTAGTAGAAATTACCCGGAGGAGTAGAGGCCAGATAACGGAAGGATTTGGAGTCTTACTCGTCGTTAGTATTCATGATATTTGGACATCTCACCTGTGATTAGCTAACAGCAACATGACTCTAACACTGACACTGATCTGTCATCTCCACAAATAACACAAGACTCACGGAGTTCTGCCATGTTGTGGATTTGCTAATGCTAATGGTTAACTTCTACTAGCTGGGACACGGTCTGCTCTCTCCTGGACGCTAAACCAACAAGAACTTCCCCGTCATGAGGACCTGACCATGATCTGAGCGTTTCCCTGTCTGTTATCTAATTTCACATTCAGCCTGCTTGTGAAAGTCAGAGTGACCGACCGTAATTTAAAAAGAACAATCTAAAACGGTTTCTCAGTGAACTTGCTCTTTAACTTTTATACATGTTAATAACATATGAAACTATGTTATTGTCAGTATTATATGTTCTGTCAGGGAGACCCAGCCTGCATTGTGCATTATGTAGAAAAAATGAAGTTAAAAATGAAATTCTGGGGTAAAATTTGGTGCAACCATTTTCAACAACTCTGGAGCGTTTTGCTAGCCATTGCCACATTACAATTGTAGCGCTGCAGTATTACTCGCAGGAGACACGGCAACCCCACACTCACTGATGGTAAACAGTAGTCCCTCCTTCCTTTGTTTTGAGAGGAGAAAAACTGACAATCCCAGCATCCAGCTAATATATTTCACTATAACCTTCCTTCTAAAATGACAGAAACATTAAACTCTTTTGGGATTTTCTCACTGTAAAATTCTCACTATATTCTTACATGCTGCACCTTTAACAATGTAAGAACTAGATTATGGTTGTTGTTTTAAATGTCCCAGCTGTCAGGCCCTTGTTTAAGTATGAGGTGACAAAACAAACCTGCAACATGATCAAACTTCAGCTCTTTATGGTGCTTTTAGGGCTCAAATCCAGCAGGAGTCAGACAGTTCCAGCTGACGTAACCACTAACAGTGATGTAAAGGTTTCTAAATAAACGTTCACATTAGCTGTTGTTGTGAGATTTGGGAGATTAAAGGTGTTTTAAGTTGGCAGTGAAACGTTTTGGTTTAAATAGTGCCAGCCATTAGCTCATGAATCTGGGAGGATTTAAAATAATAGACTAAAGATGTTCATGGGTATAGCAACAACAGGCTAAAACACAACAGTTTAGACGAAAAAATAATTAAGAGAGGAGCTAGATTGTCTGGTGATCAGAAACTCGGAATTCTGATTTTTTTATATTGATCTGTAAGCGGCGTCAACAATAAAACATCTGACATTTTTCCTGGTCTGTGAACTCACCAGACAACTGATCATCGATGTTAGTAACTGATGTTACATGTGCAAGGTTTTAGCTCCGGAATGAACGCTTTAAAGTGACAGTGTGTATTTTTTCTGGCCATAGGGGGCAGTAGATACCTAAATCGTTGTAAGAAAGCTGTATTTTTGTGTTGGAATAAGACCTTACCAACAGAAGCCCATTAGGGTCTAAAAGCCCTGGGGAGTGCAAACTTTAGCAAAATAAGCACATCAGACTCTCTTTCATCACTGGCAACAATTGAAGAGGTAAACGTGTAAAACAACATATTTAACAATGACAAAAGTTTTGTAACGGTTTGTTACAAATCAGTGGATGCATTTTGTCCTCATGGGCACCCGTAGAAGGAAACATAGCATCTAATATGGCGTCGCCCAGAGACTTAGACCCGCTCCCATTTATTTTAGACCAGATTTTTATGGTTAGATGTTACGACGCTGCCAATATTGTTCAACAACTGGGCTTCATTTCATTCATTTTCAACTACATTTTGATGGATGTTTCCAGAAATTAATGGTAAAACTACACATTGTCTCTTTAATGTTAGTTAGATGAATCTGAATGGGCCAAACCAGCATCAGCAAGTCTGAGCTGTTACAAGAGTCAGAAATCGGTTTCGGCACTCTAAAACAAAATCAGTGTCCCAAATTCCAACAAAAAACAAACGTGCATAAACTCATGTTGAGTATATGCTTGTGGAGAAAAATTATATCAAACCAATCAAAGGTTTGTCCAATCATATGCCAAAATTTAGTGGATTAAATAGTTGACCCCCACGCCCCACCCCCCTCTCTCTCTCATCTGTTACTGTTTCCCACCATCAGACCACCATAGTTGTGAGAAAACACAACATTTGAGGTCAGGCCTCAATGACAGTTAGTGGATGAGAGGAATGAAGTCGAAAACTGAATCAGCTTTTTAACTCAACTGAATTTAAAATGAATTACACAGATAAATGCAAATCTATAAGAACCATTACCCATCAGAAGAGTGATGAAACAAAAGTAAAAACCTCCTGCTGCTCTGTGACCTGACAGATAAGACAGTTTAACTTGGTTTGGGGCAGAGATATTTGATAGTTGCAGATCATTTTGGGCTCAGACAGAACAAAGTCTGCAGCTGAAGCGTCTGAGTGTTTATCAGCCTCAACAATATGCCAATATGCTGAAAGTCTGTAAATTCAATGCGACAGATTAGATTAGTGTGGCGGGGGCGGGTTTTGCGCACTTTGTGTGTGTGTGTGTGTGTGTGTGTGTGTGTGTGTGTGTGTGTGTGTGTGTGTGTGTGTGTGTGTGTGTGTGTGTGTGTGACCTGTTGATGCACCCTCGCAGGCAGACATGTAACTCGACTCTAATCATAAATATGAAAGCACACATCCACTCGCCTGGTGGTGTGTCTCCTTCTCCACGTTGACGCCGTTCACGGCGACCACCCGGTCCCCGGCGCGCAGCCCCGACGCCTCTGCGGGGGAGTTGGGCTCCACTTGGCGGATGAACTGTCCGCTCTTCCCCTTCTCTCCGTGCAGGTGAAAGCCATACCCGTTCTCCCCTTTATTCATCACACACAGTCGCGGTTTCCGCTCGTTGGCCATTTGCTCTTCTTCTCGCATCGAACCTTCCTGCAGACCCGAGTAGAGTAAAAATGCGGTGAAAATGCGCGAAAAGAAGAGGTGGGAGTTCAGGACAACGGGTGCGGGGCTAAACTTCCAGCGTGCATCCCGACTGGCCTCGTGCGCGCCCTCACATCACAAACACAACTCCAGATCCAACAACGGAAAAGTTTAAATTCCCTAAAAGCTCCGAACTCCAGTCAACTGGACCGTGTGTCCGGCTCTGAGGCACGCTGCTCCAAAACGGACCCAAACCACCGGGGGCTCCAGAACCTTCGGACCGGTGCGCTCTGCAGACTGTAAAAGTGAAAATGGTTACTGGTCAAACTCCCTGCGTTTATCCAAAACAGTCGTCCGGAGAGCACATCCTTCTGCAGCTTCAGCGCCGATCTTTGCGCACGATGAGCGGCTGGTGCGCAACAGCACCACCTTCCTCTGGAAGAGAAACAAATGCACTGATGCCCCCCGGCGGCAGGAAACAGTCAGTGATCAGGGTTAGTTATGATAAATGATCAACTTTTAAATAAATTTAAAAAAAAGTTCTTTAAAATATTTCCTGTCTATTTCATTGTTGGTGCCTAATATCAGGCAATGTGGTGACTTTTAACTTCAAAATGATACATCTCACAATAACGGGAAACGTATATTGGCTCGATTAGGGTACAGTTATGGTAACATCTCAGATTTATAACTTTTAATCACATTTGCAACCTTTTGTCTTAGAAATCTGACTTTTAAAGTCATAAATATAATTTTTAATAACTGTCAAGGTTGTAATTATGGTGTTATTTTTAGTCATAGTTATGACTTTGATCTTGTAATTATGATTTCCAAAGTTACAATAATTACTAAACTTCATATTTACAAGTTTGAAAGCAGGAAAGATGATTTTGAAATCACCAAAATGATCCTTCAGATCTTTTAAATTGGAACTCTGAAAAATATTAAGAACAATCTACATCAGTGGTTCGTCCTTCACTGCCTCGACTCGACTGCTTCAGTGGTGGTGCTGCTGATGGCTCGTGTCTCGTGCTTATCCTCTACGCCAAGGCAACTCAGTGATCAAGCAGGGATCTAACCCCTGCATCCAGCTTCCACTGGGAAGCACCTCACTCTCACTCTCCAACCAGTCCACTCCATACTTGGAGAGCTTTCTCCAGGGCTCTTCCCGGGGAATTGTTAAGTCCAACAGCAAAACTTGCTTACTGGCCTCAGACACAAGAACAGCGTCTGGTCTGAGGGAGGTGACAGCAGTATGACTGGGGAACTTCGGCTGATCCATCAAGATCTCCCAGTATCTGGCAGAGATCTTTTGACTGGAGCTGCTTACTCCCCAGCTCTGGTGAAGGTTGTAGTTTGGTTGGAATGGCAGGCAGGTAAACAGAGAATAGTAAAATTTGATTGTGTCTAGGCAAATAAGTTACTGATTAGTTCCAGGAGGGTAAATTAAAAGCGGGTTTCTATTGTATTAAAACAACTCAGATCTCATCATTGTTCTAGCAGTTCATCTAAAGGCTTTTAAACACCATTTGAACTTTGAAACTGCAGAAATTTTTACTTTACATGAAAATTCAGATGAAAATATAAAATCCTCATCAGTACAGATAAACATTCTCCATTCACACCTGTGGTCTGTGTTTCTCCAAACTGAGGGCAATCAAAGAGCTTTTTACTTCAGATAAGATATTAATTATTTATAACAAAGAATGCTGTTTGTTTTAGTGTTAAAATTATTTCTTTAAAAGTCAGAATTTTATTTTTGTTTTCTTAAAGAGACAATGTGTAGCTTTTACCATTAATCTCTAGAAATACAAAATGTTGTTGAAAATCAATAAAATGAAGCCCAGTTGTTGAAAAATATTGGCACCTTTGTAAACTATAACCAAAAAAATCGTGTCTAAAATACATGGGAGCGAGTCTAAGGGTGTTTCTCAATGCCAAGGAACCTTGCCTTGATGTCTTGGCCCCGCCCCGGTTGCCTAGGAGATACATCATCAAGAGCCGTGTTCCAATGTTCATGTTCTACCGAGGTGTGTGTTCTACGTTTGTTTGCCGTTTAGCTAGCTGAGCAAGGATACGCGGGAGGTGTCTTGTAGCCTAGCCTTGGTCAAAAATTACCCACAATACACCGCAGCATTTTCAAAACGATGGCGTATCAGAAGTCGGCAGCTACTTTGGGGACAATTTTCAAGTTTAAAAGTACGTCAGCTAATTTAAAATGTTTTTTTTAGATCCAAAGAAGTTATCTGTGGTTGGTTAGTTGCTTAGTTGCAGTTCGGTGGCTAGCGGGTAGTATCTCACTTATATTTTTTATTTAACAAATGAATACACAATTTAAAAAGTAAAAGGCTCGTTGTATATTTATGTTGAAACTAATACGTATAAAATATAACTTTATCTCCAGTGTCACGTGACGTTACATGACCGCCGTGGAAGCCGCGGTCATGTGATGCAAGTCTGTTCCATTTATCCGTTTTCTTTGACCAAGGAAGGACAGTGTCCTCGTAAGCAAGGCGCCTGGCCTCGCAAGACATCGCCTCACAAGACCAGGTGTCTTGACATTGAGAAACACCCTAAGTCTCTGGGCGACGCCATATTAGATGACACGTTTCCTTTTATGGGAGCCCATGAGAACAAAATGCATTTACTGATTTGGAACAAAATGGCGCAAAACTTTCATCATTCTTAATTGTTGTTTTGAACATTTACCTCTTCACTTCACATAAATGCTTAAAAATCCCACCATAGTGCAGCCGTGGCTCTCTGGTCTTTGGATACTGGATGTTTGGCTTGACAATGGAATCACCAATTATAGATACAGATTACTGTTTAAGTGCTCACATTTCACAACAGTACACCAATTATTATGCCTTCTCCAAGTCAGGGATGAGGTCCTGCCCCAAATGGAGGAGTTTAATTATCTTGGGGTCTTGTTCACGAGTGAGGGAAAGCTGGAGCGTGAGATCGACAGGCGGGTTGGTGCTGCATCTGCAGTGATGCGGGTGTTGTACCGGTCTGTCGTGGTGAAGAGAGAGCTGAGTCAGAAGGCGAAGCTCTCGATTTACCGGTCGATCTACGTTCCTACCCTCACCTATGGTCATGAGCTTTGGGTAGTGACCGAAAGAATGAGATCGCAGATACAAGCGGACAAAATGAGTTTTCTCTGCAGGGTGTCTGGGCTCTTCCTTAGAGATAGGGAGGGGCTTGGAGTAGACCTGCTGCTCCTCCACATCGAGAGAAGCCAGTTGAGGTGGGTTGGGCATCTGGTTGGGATGCCTCCTTGGTGAGGTTTTCCGGGCACGTCCAACCGGGCTCAAAGGGGGCCTCGCCCGGGGAGTAATACCATGCAGAACCGCCACTGCCTCCATGTCATCACTCAGATCCTCCTCCCTGCAGAAAAGAGGAACTTTCAACATCTGCTGTTGCATTTTTTTAAAATAAAAATCAAAGACCTATGATTAATTAATCAAAACTTACTTGAAACAAATCTCCTGTTTTGCTGTAGCAGAGTGAACATCTGCTAAGGTTACGGCTGCATAATGAATTACATTCTTTGCAGACAACCTTATCAGTTATCTAAACAGAAGGTTTGATCAGTTTCTTAACCCACACAGAGACCAACCGCTGATGAATAATTACTCCTTTTATTAAACATAGGAGTAAAACTGCAAAGAACATTTTTTAGTTTAATCTTTTTCATCTGACATTAATTCCATCACAACCGAAATAATTCTAGTTTAAATGTGTGAACCTGCACTGTTAAACTTTGTTTTGGGCATAAAGTAATTAACTGTTGAGGCTGAATAAAAGTGGTTGGGTCCTAAAATTTTAAAATAACAGGAAAAAAATGAATGAAAAGTGGAAAAATGCTAATTTGTACATTGCCCGTGTTGATTGTTCAGCCATTACCCTGGATTATTTAGACTTCTGTTATTATTTTAGATGTAAGACTTCTTAAAATGAAGCTAAGCCCCTTAGTAGTAATAATAATAATAATAATAATTTCAAAAGATAGAAGAACAAAGCTAGCAGCTACACCCCTGTACTGTCAAATCGATTAAATTAAATGATCATTGATGTCATTTTGTGGTGTCATTTAATTATGAACCTTAACCACTAGAGGGCAGTAAAGGCTATTTTAAAAGCTGTTTTCCACACAGCCCATCAGCTGATGACTGGATCTCACTTAAATGAAAAGGAAAACAACCAAATAAACAATAAAAAACTTATTTTCGACTCTACTACTTTAATTCATTTCCTGCTACTGTGTTCTACTGTGTACTACATTTATTGCATCGTTACAATTACATAACAAACGATGACATTTGTTTCAAATTTTCTGACTAAACTACAGTTTATTTTCACTTCTGCAAAAACACGTGTTGCTCATATTTATCCTGAACATATTTGCAGGAACTGCTAGTTGATTATTTTATACTGGCTCCACAGAATAAAAGTCCACATTAAAACATCTGACTATTAATAACTATTAACAATAGAGGGAGCCTGTTGCTGGGTGTCCCTCGTGTGACCAGTAAATAAGATGATTAGTGTTAAACCTTTATCCTTGTTGGACCATAAACATTAACAAGCATCCAGTTGGATCCAGTTTCAGCTCCCTAAGCAAGGAAAACCAGATGGCCTGTCTCAGTTACCATTTGTATAACCATGTCACGGTGGCTACACAGATCCAAATATCTTCCTGCCTTGGCCTCGTTGACTCGGAGCATCATTTCCCCTACGAGCTCCTGTGAGAACACACACGAGCACATCAGCGTTTGATGGCTCTTGTGGCCTCCCTCGTTCACCGTGTGTTCTAGCGTACGCCTACACTCTGACGGATCATCTAATCTGGATGATGGTTCAGTTTAATGCACGCACTTATCGTCAATCAGCAGGAGAGATTGTTCTTTTCGTGGGGTCACTTAAGTGAATTTAATTTCAGCACAAACGAAACACGGACAGATGCTGTTGTTACTGCTGCAAGGTGCAATTTATATTTATTTTAGGAAGGGTGTTAGCATATCCTCAGGAGAAATGAGGTTGTGGGCTTTGGTGCAGAAAATATGACAAAATGCTCCTTATTGTCTTTAAATTAATATCCGTACACAATGGCTGATGTAGAATATTTCACATGAGACGGGGCTAAGGAGGGACAAAGGCTCTTGGCAAAGCAGGACCTTCTCACTTAATTATGTGAAAAAAAAACATGGGTCCACAAAATATTCACCAAAAGACCTAAATATTTATTACATACATACGTACATTTTAGGTTTAAAAAAAAAAGAAACAGAAATGTCTAAATATACAGAAATAAGTAAATAAATACAAAAATACAAAAAATTACTTATAATACTGTACAGGACTCATTTCACCTTTAGGAGAGCTTAAAGTGTACAAAGGATAAAAATG